CTGTCGTTGCCGCGCCTTTCACTCCCCTCAGGGGTGGAGGCTAGGGCTGGGCCCCTGCGTGTCACCTACCCCAGGACATTTATGCCCTGAATAAGAAAAGCCTCTTTATCTCTTCCCTGGAGAGCTCGCTGCTCGCCGCACTGATTGCCCCCGGTGACCTGTATGCCATCCCTGTGAGAGGATGGGATGTCTCATAAGGGGCCTCTGCAAATTATTTTGCTGACGTACAATGCTCTGGCCGCTGCTAGTGGCATATGGCTGGGAAGGCACTGGTGAGGAGGCTATCAGTGGAACGATGGGCTGGCCCTGTGCAGGCCGGGTGTGGGAGGTGGTGGACAGGCAGCCCTGCCCTGCTCTTCATTGCACCATGATGCGTGGGAGCTGTGCTTCTGCGGAACGGTCCATCCTGTTGAAGACCTTAGTGTGGCATAGAAGACCTGGTGACTTAGAACAGAGCACGCTTGACAGGCTGGTGCATGAGGAGGGGTATGCCATGGGATGCTGCTCTTCCCAGGTGGAGTAGAATTTAGCTGCTTGCCCATGCGTTGGCTGTGGTTTAATGCCACAGACTAACCGCAGGAAACTGGGATGGGAAGGCTTTGGGCAGCTTTTGGAGTCCTACATCTTCCTGTTGGTCAGAGTCATATCCTCTCAAAGATTTGTAAGCCTCTTTGCCTGTGCCTTTTGCCACTTTGAGGTATATCAGCCCCATGGGACACACCTTCCCGGAACTTGCTCTGTCTTATGTTACCTGTTTGCAGAAAGTCAGCTCTGGCTTTAACTGTGTCAGTCTCCCTTCTCCCCAGTCTCCCTGCAGGTACGCCAGAAAACAGGAGCTTCTTTGTCCCAGCTCTTGTGTGCCACCGGTGTGTCATGTAAAAAGCATCTCACCCGTGTGCATGGGACCTTTGAGAGCCCATTGTTGAATCTAGGTGTTATCCTAGTTGCCTGGATGGCATCCAACCAATGGGTTACCACACTTTGCATTTGCAAGCTCCTTTCTGTGTCCAGGCAGCCTTTTGGGGTCCTCGCACCCAACCGTGGCATCAGGACTCTCTTCCCCACCAAAGTGAGTGGGGAACACTTGTGGACCAGCTTTTGCTCTACGTTTCTCCCTTTTGTAGCCCACAGGGGTAGTAGTTGGCAGCTTCTTCACAGAGCACAGTTCTGTCTGGCACAGGTTAGAATCCGTGACTCTGCCAGTTTATGATGAGAAGGATTCCTGGCGCACATGTGTCTCAAGGCTGGCAGG